GCCATATCTGGCCGACCCAGGAGTTGCCTCACCGGCTGATCGGTTCGCACGATGATGGTGTGGGCTAGAAAGTAGTGTCTGAGTCTCCTCGCCGCGTTGACGAGGGCCAGAGCAACCTTTTCTATCTGTTGATATCTGCTCTCGGGGCCTTGTAAGGCTTTGCTCGTGAAGTAGACAGGTTTCTGCCCGTCAGGGGTCTCGCGGACAAGAGCTGCGCTGATGGCTTCGTTTGAAACTGCCAAGTATAGGTATAGTGGTTCATCGTCATCTGGTCGAGACAACACGGGCGGTTGAGACAGGCTCTGCTTCAGATGGCGGAGTGCGTGCTCGCATTCCTCGTTCCATTCGAAGGCTGCTTCCTTTCGAAGGAGCTTGAAGAAGGGAAGTGCGTGCTGAGCGGACTTCGCGACGAAGCGGGATAGTGACGTCAACATGCCGTTCATGATTTGTATCGACTTCTTCGACGTTGGTGTCGGGAGGTCGGAGAACGCCCGACACTTGTCGGGGTTGGCTTCAATCCCTCGTTCTGTTAGATAGAATCTGAGGAATTTTCCTGCCTTGACCCCGAACGTGCACTTCTCGGGGTTGAACCTCATTTTGCACTGTCTTGCTTAGGCGAAGACTGTCTTGAGGTGGGCTGCGTGATCGGTGTCTGCTCGGGATTTGACGATCATATCGTCCATATATACCTCGAGCACGTCGCCAATCTGTTTGTTGAACACTTTGTTCATCATGCGTTGGTAAGTTGCACCGGCGTTCTTCAGTCCGAAGGGCATTACGTTGTAGTAATAGTTGCCCGAGCTGGTCATGAACGTTGTGCAGCATTTGTCGCCCAGAGCCATTGGGATTTGATTGTATCCCGAGTAGGCGTCCATGAACGACAAAGTCTTGTAGCCGGCCGAATTGTCGACCAGCATGTCAATGTTAGGTAGAGGAAAAGCATCCTTCGGGCAAGCCCGGTTGAGGTCGGTATAGTCAACACACATTCTCCATTTTCCATTATTCTTTTTAACAAGTACAACATTTGACAGCCAGGTGGAGTACCGGGCTTCAGAAATAAAATTTGCCTCTAGGAGGTCTTTTACAGCTTTTTCAGCAGCCTCCGTTTTTTCTGGAGACTGCCTACGCCTACGTTGTACTACGGCCTTGGCGGCTGGATCAATGGCGAGGTGATGACAGGCGACCTCAGGGTCGAGTCCGGGCATCTCTGCAGCGCTCCAGGCGAAGAGATCAGCATTCTCGCGCAGACAGGCCTTGATTTGCTTCCTGGCCAAGTCGGGGAGGTCTTTGCCAATCTTCACTCCCTTGGTCGGGTCTGCTCCGAGGGGAACGAGTTCAAAATCGCCGTCCGGAATAGGTCGGAGGGGGATTTGCTCGCTGCTGGATGGCTCGTCTTGGTCGAAGCGGGCGTCGAGGGCTATGGAGTCGACCTTTGGTGGAGCCTTCTGAACTTCTACCTCGGGGGATGCTCTGTCGGGCTCTTGCTTTGTCTTCTTGGTGGGTCTGGTCCCCACGTCGACGGTATCTCGTCCCTTGGAAGCGGCGTTGAAGCACCTGCGGGCAGCGGCGAGGTCTCCCTGGATGGTGGCTACCCTTGCCCTTTTGGTATAGAACTTCATTTTTAAATGGACAGTTGAGGGCACCGCTGTCAGCTCCGCCAATGTCGGCCTCTCCAAGATGCAATTGTATAGGGACGGGCAGTCAATGACGAGGAAGCGGACCTTGACCTGTCTTGTAGCCGTTCCTTCCCCGAACGTCACCAGGAGCTCGACATAACCCCAAGGTTTGGAAGTCGAGTCGTTGAAGCCTTGAAGATCTGAACCCACATACAGAGAGAGGTGTGAGTCGTCCAGTTGCAAGGTCCGGAACAGCTGGCTGTACATCACGTCGACGGAACTCCCTTCGTCGACCAGGATGCGATGCACGTCAAAATTGGCCATCTTTGCCCTTATCAGCAAGGGGATGACTGCGTTCGGGGCTCCGCCGGGGAGCTCTTCTAGGTAGAAGGTGATGGGCTCCGATCTGCCCTTCACCCTTTCGAACGTCACAGTTTGTGGAGGAGCTGTATCGACCAGTTCGTCCAACTTCCTCTTGGCTGCATTGATGGTGAGGTCGTTGAACCCGCCCCCGCTGATGACCATGGCGGAGGGAAAGTATTCCCACCTGCTGTGTGTTGTCAGGGGCTCCTACAGGAGCTCGGGAACGTCGAAATCCTCGGGCCTGGTTATCGAGAAGGCGGTCTGGATTGGTACCGACTCGTCTGATGGTCGTGCATCCTCTTCGGGCTCCTTAGCTTCGTGGGCGTCACGACGGGGAGCGTCGTTTCGCCTGTACTGTGCGAGCCTCCCTCCTTTGATGAGGGTTTCAATGGCGTCCTTGAGGTGGACGCAGTCCTCTGTCAAATGGCCATGACTCCTATGGTATTGACAGTATTTATTTTTGTCTGCCCCTGGCTTGGCGGGAGCGGGTCGGGGACGCTTGACGCCACCGTCTTTGAAATCTGTGCTAGCACACTCCGCCAAAATACGCTCGCGGGAAGCCGTGAGCGGAGTGTACTCAGTGAAACGGCCCGAGGGGCCCCTTTGTTCCCGGACCTCCCGGGGTCGATCTTCCTTCCTTTTCTCCCCGGTACGTCGGGGAGGAGGGTCTTGTCGCGAGCTGCTGCTATGATTGGGAGCGCGAGCCCTGGAGTCTCGTGCCCTGTTGGCAGCTTCTCTCTCCTCGTAGTCCATGTATGCTCGGGCTTTGTCGAGGAGAGCATCAAAAGTTGCAGGTGGCTCAATATCCACGGCTTTTCTGAATTCTGTGCCGGGGAGGAGGCCCCTCTCCAGCAAATATCTTTTCATATGGTCCGCGCAGGGGACCTGTATTGCTTCCCGGTTGAAGCGGTTGATGAATTCCCTCAAGGTTTCATCCTGTCTTTGGATGATGGCCTCGAGGGCCGCCTCGGTCTTCGGGTGGCGCCGAGAAGCTGTGAAGGAACTGATGAACTGGTTCTTCAGGTTCCGCCACGAGGTAATTGAGCCCGGGGCGAGTCCTTTATACCAGTCCATGGCCGCCTTCCTGAGAGTTGTGGGGAAGAGACGGCACTTGATGGGCCCCCCGACATTATGATAGTGGAGCATGGCTTCGAACCCGTCAATGTGGTCGACCGGGTCTGCTACGCCGTCATACTCCTTCAGATGTGGGGGCTTCTCCATGCCCGGGGGGATAGGTGCATCCATGATGGCCTGCGACAGGGGACCGCGGGGGTCGTCCTCGTCGCTCCTCTCCGGAGAAAGAGAAGGGGTCCTGCAGTTATGTCTGGCACGATGATCGTGCTGAAATTCCCTCGAGCGTGATGCTCGGTGGTTGAAGGTCACACGCCCGTCTCCGGGGTGCCTCTTGTCGTGCCTTGACGGGTCGCGACTGGGTTCCCCGGCTGGAATAGCGGGCTGTCTCTCATAGTTGGGCCGCCTCTGCTTTGGTCGGGGAGAGGGACTCCTGGAGTTCTCCCTGTAGTGTCTCCGCGGGGGAGAAGGGTGTCGAACTTCTTCGACCCGAGGAGGTGGAGAAGGTGGCCTCTGATGCCTCCTCGGGGGTCGTCGATCATTTTCAAGTGCCCTTAGTCTTTCTCCTTGGGCGAATATGAGATAATTTGTCTGGTTGATGGCCGCGAACAGTGCCTGAGTCGTGGCATCTGCCCCGGCAGGAACTGGGACTTCAAAGAACCGGGCAGCTCTGTGATAGGTGAGAGCTACCGGGTCGTCCTCGAGTGCTGGAGGGGTCGTCGAGGATGATGCAGTATTCCCGTCCCTGCGGGAGGAAGGTCCAGGGGCGGTTGTCACAGGGATGGCATTGTGGCCGGGATCACCGGGGTTGTAGAGGTGTCCATTCTTGTCCGCGGAGCCGTTATTAGTGTCGGCGACACGGGCGGGCTGCTCGTCGTGAGCTGGGTCAGCCATGACAGGTAGTTGAATTGAGCTTTGGTCCTTAGAATTGTTCGTTAAACGGGGAAGCTGTTTCCCACAGACGGCGCCACTGATCTGACCTGATCAGAAATGGACCGTCACGGCTGGCTCCGAGCAGAAAGCTTTTTTAACGAGGTGGGGGGGGTACCTGCAAGACACTCCGATGCTGAAGTAAGTAGGAGTACGAGCAGATAATAGTAAGTTGAGGTTAGAATGATGAATACCTGACCCTCTGGAAACAGAGGGTATTTATAGCCCACAGCGCTGGGCCAAGGTTCCTTCATTGGACCGGGCGGATTTGGCCCAATGGAGGAACTGCCAGGTTCTACGTGGGTAGTGGAGACCCGCACGTGGTCCCCTTCCTGGATGTTCTGCGTGAAGTGCGGGCGGACGGAGACGCGGTCTTTCCGGAGTATCGTTGGGGGAACGGTGGACTGAGTCTGCCCTAGCTGGGATGCTCGAGACAACGTCGAGCTGGACAGCAGGGTGTCGAGCTCGACGCCAGGACGTCGAGCTGGATAGCAGGGTGTCGTGCTGGGCGTCAGGACGTGGAGTTGGACAGCGGGATGTCGAGCTGGACATCAGGATGTCGGGCACGGATGTGACTCATTTGCTCGGCGTGGTCCTCAGTAAGTCCCTTTGGACTGGGCCTTAGTAATGCTTTTGGGCCTGTCGGGCCCAGTCCAGAACAACTTGTAATAAATAGGATCCTAAGGTACATTAGTACTAATGTCAAATTAACAAAACACAAGAATGGATGTCAATGTGTATAACTATTCTGATTCAGATTGGAGTGGTGATGAAGATGATAGAAAGACCATAACAAATTGCCTTTTCATGCTTGGATTAGCACCAATCTCATGGAGTTCAAAAAAGTAAGAAATTATGACTTTCTTCATGCGAGGCGGAGTATATTCCAATCTCATATGTTGTATGTCAAGCACTTTAGTTGGAGATGTAGCTTGAAGAGTTGAATGTGAAACTGTAAGCAAATCAGGTTGCTAGTGGACAATCAGTCAACAATTGATTTAAAAAACCATCCTATGATCCATGGTAGGAAAAACATTTTTAGAGACCAAAGTTAACTAAAAGAGGTTGAGAATTGAATATTGTGAGACTGAATATCAATTGGTTGACATTCTAACAAAAATGCTTGAAGCAAACAAGATTTGAAGGCTTCAAAGGATTGATGTGAATGAGAAACTTAAGCAACCTGAATGAATAAGGGTGTTAAATGTGTTACAGTTTTCAGCATGTGATTACTGTTAGTTTAGGATGTGGTGATTACTGATAGTTTAGAATTTGGTTACTAATATTTCAACATGTAGTTACGGTTGGTTATTATTAGTGATGTTAATTAGTTAATAGTATGATACTACATAAAGGATGTTGCACGTGTTTGTAAAAACTCAATTCCTTTCCAATAATATTTCTCTTTCTCTCAACTCAATTGCTATTTTCTTAAATTTGCAAATAACTTGTAACTCAAGTTATCCCACAATTGTTATTTCACCTAATCGTATCATAAAGATATAATTATATTAATTTGCAGGTTGTCGTCTATGTCCTTTTTCGTCCAATATCAAGATATTATTACAAAAAAGTAAACAAAGTGCTCACAGAAGTACTATGGTTGGAGCTCATATGGCTAGTTGATTGGTGGGCAGGCGTTAAGGTTTGTTTGATCGATTATCGTATCTCCATCAATACTTTTCGTTTGATATATCTGTGTTAGATTAAGAATATTGGTAGGCAGGAAGAAGACTCTAACTAGTTGAATGATCTGGATGTTGCAGATTGAACTATATGCAGATTCAGAAACTTTTAAATTATTTGGTAAGTTCTTTTTTTCTTCTTTAACATTCTGTTGCTACAAGATCTCACAAATTTGCATTTGAGAGAATTTTAGGTAAAGAAAATGCACTTCTAATCTGTAATCACAGGAGTGACATTGATTGGCTTATTGGATGGGTTCTAGCTGAGGTAACTTATTTCATGTTCTAATATAATTAGTTAAATTACATCTTTGTTTTGATCTTTCTTTTATATCATGCGGCTTATGTGTGACAGCGTATGGGTTGCCTTGGTAGTACCGTTGCCATTATGAAGAATGAAATCAAATATCTTCCTGTAAGTATAGTATTTATAATCATTTATTTGCAACACAGCTGATATGGTTTCTGATACGGTTTTCTAGATCGAATCCAACGCAGCAACCGAGCTATGAAAATTTGATCTTAACTAATCTGTGCAGGTTCTAGGTTGGTCAATGTGGTTTGCTGATTTTTTGTTTCTGGCAAGAAATTGGGCTAAAGATGAACAAACACTGAAGGTAAATCAAAATAATACATATCCTAATATGCATATATGTATTTAACAGAACGTTCGTTAACAGAATTTTATTTATATATCTCTCTTGATTTTTGCTGGCAGACAGGTTTTGCGCAGCAAGTGCGCAATCCGGTGCCTTTTTGGCTGGCTCTTTTCGCCGAAGGAACTCGCTTTACACATACAAAACTTTTAGAAGCTCAGGAATTTGCTAGGTCTAGAGGAATGCCTATACCGAAAAATGTTTTGGTTCCTCGTACTAAGGTGAACAAAATTGATTACTTACACATTTTGATTTTGTTTAGGCTGATAAACATCTTTCACTGCTCATATAATCTTTCTCCAGGGTTTTGTCACAGCTGTGATGCATACGCGGACATTCGTTCCAGTCATTTACGATGGCACGTTTACAGTTTCAAAGACTGAACCTTCACCTACAATGTTGAGAATATTTCAAGGCATTCCTTGTACGGTAAGGCAGTAAAAACATTGACAGAAGTTAACAATGCAATTAACAATATTTGGATTATCCGCAACCTACAGCTAGACTATTCCTCTGCTTTTTCTACTTCAGGTGAAGGTTCAAGTTAAGCGGCACAAAATGGAGGAAATTCCGGAAACAGTCGATGGCATTGCACAGTGGTGCAAAGACCTTTTTGTCGCCAAGGTATTACAAGTAATGTAAATGTCAAGTTCCTAGAGAAAATGAAAAACTTATAACATTTTCTCACCAATCAGGATGCTTTACTGGAGCAATACAATACTACAGACATATTCAGCGAATTCGAACTTCAAGAAAGTCGCCGACACAAAAGATCTATAATGGTAAATCAACATGTTGGGTTTTGAGTAAAGGTTTACCAAACAGGAAAAAATTACTGATGCTAATTATTAACAGGTTGTGCTAAGTTGGTCTTGTCTCCTTGGCTTCCTTCTTTACAAATTCTTCAAATGGTCTTCGCTCATGTCGACGTGGCAAGGAATTTTGTTAACGGTGGTTTTCCTGATCATTGTGTCGGCTGTTATGGAAACACTCATTCATTCATCTCAATCAGAAAGTTCTAAACCTGCTTTACCTATACAAGACCCTATCAAGCAGAGGCTTCTTCAGAAATGAGCAAAGATTCACCATGAATTAATGTTAATCCCGTTACATGTCTCTATCCCAATAGGCAACAGCATATGTACATTACATGTTTCTTCGTCCGTAGCTTTTTGGTTTGAAAATGCAGAATGTGTTAGGTAGAATAATGTCATTGATATTCAAACTAGTTGCTCCTAGCGTGTATTATTTTTCGGTTAAGTAATCAGAGTAATTAGACAGACTGAAATTTGTTACTATTTCTAAGTTATTAAGGAACTGGTGATCAATGAAAAAGAATGAAAAATCTGTCAAAATTTAAATACTATCATTTAGATGATTACATTGCATGGCCCTATTTTACGAATGCATTGATAAGTCGTATACATGTCCAGAATCCTTACAGAATATAGACGAGAAATCACGGCCCTCTTCCTTAATGCCCTTAGTTTTGTTTCACCTTCATGCAAGGTATATTCTTTGCAAAAACTTACAGCTTCAATTTCTTCGAACCTTCTTTTTAGTTACTGCAAAAATTTTCACCATGATATATTTTACTGATTAGAAGCCAAAGAGCGTAGCAAATCATGATAATTGATCTTTTTTGCAGCTTCTTACAATATCACTAGTCACAAAATTTAGACATCTTAATCTATCATACAAAATACTCGATCTTATTGCAGCTTCATGAATGATAAATTGTAAGTAAGACCAATATATATGAGAAAGAGACCATGCATACCGGTTTTGAATCAGTTGCGGTTGTTGTAGAGGGTGTTTTAATTTTACCACTACCGGAGACAACCTCGTCCATGCTTTGTCCCTGTCGTCTGTATCTACCACCAGAAGCAACAAATCCAGGGCATGGTCTGTAAGCTTTTATAGGCCACCATCCAAAGCCAGGGACAGTTGCAATCCCACCCTGCATCCTTCCTTCACCATTGCATCCTCTCTCTATTTCTTCTTTTCCACATGCTTTACAACCACTGTTAAAACATGTTCAGAAACTACATACCTTAAAATAATTTGATGTCTTTCTACATGACAGAGACACTATATAGCAAGTTTTGATAAAAAAGGAAAATGAATGATACCTTTGCTGGGTTGAGGATTTTGATTGATTGGGAACAGGAAGCTGTTCTTCTGGTGAAGAAGAAATGAGGGAAGTTGGAGTAGAGGAAGGAGAACACTGTGAGGGAGGAACGAGAATCTTAGAAAAACAAGGGGAAGTAGTAGTTGACCATGGACTTTTTGGCTTGTGCAATTGAACCTGATGATGATAATGTTGAGGAGTTGGAACTGAAAGGAAAGCTATTGTCATTCTTTCTCTCACCCTCACTTTCTCTCTCTATTAGGGACTGAGTAATGTGAGCCCCTCTTTTAATTCTACTTATCCTATGTCAGTGTGAGGATGTTAAAAGAGTTGAAGTCCTCTTCTTTTCTCAAAAAATAAATGAAGGCTCAATTCAATCCAATTTTTTTTTAAAAAGTTTGATATGTTTAAAAATAATTTTAAAAAATAGATATAAAAATTTCTCATTCATAAAAAAATTATGTTTATTTCTTGCTTCATTAATATTTATATTACCAAATAAAATAGATTTTCAGCTATATATATATATCCATTTAATTGTCAAAAAAAATCAATTATTCCCCCTTACTTTTAGAAAAAACAAGACTTTCACTTATAAAAGTTAAATAAACAATTTTAAAAATGAATATTCCTAATCATATGACCTAAGGCTTTTTACAACAAAATCATCATTTGTTAGCAAAGTTTGGAAAAATGTCTCAGCAAAAAATGCACACACTACACTACCAAAACTAGAATGCACGCCAAAATTAGAGTATGCTTTTGCTTTTGCTCTTGCTCCCACAACACAAGTCTATGCAACTTTGATTCACATTAATCTTTTCCATTGATCTTTTGATGTATTTACTTTAATCCACTTAATCTATTTTTCATTCTTTTCTGGCCCGTTTCAATTTCCTGTATTATATACGGTATGAAAACAAAAGATTCAAAACTCAAGAAAACTTCCAATTACGAAAAATAATTTCAAGCATCTTGCTTCTGCAAATAAACCTTTTCTGAAATCAGTATCAGACATAACATCATATCATCTCTCTTACTATAATTATCCATGCATAATTTGTTGCTCTACATTTCCATTCATCACAGAACTGTGATGATGAACCATATACCACCGTCCACTATGGAACTCAAACACATTGGTTACATAGAACGGCCCTGTATCCATGTCAAGAAATGTTTTCATGGTAACCCAGGCCATGTCAGTCAAGACGCGAGCTCGCACATCCCGAACCTGAAAGTTCAATCCTTGATCCCAGTTGAAAACAAGTTGCCAGCCCCGCATTACTCCATTATACCTGTAGCATGGAATATTAGGTTATATTAACCGTATTCATTCATTCATATTACTAGTACTCTTGATTAGATGTCCCTAGCACGAGGAAAACCCCCGCCTAATAGATAATGAGCAAGGAAAAAAAAAAAAGGTCAAGTAGATAACTACTAGGGACCATGTCATACTACCTTTTTTTTCTAAAGGTCTATTAGGGAGGAAGAATTTGGAGGATTAAGGTCTATATCTTAATATATGTTCAAAAATTCAGTCCTACTTCATTCTTTTTTAGAAAGATTTTACAATTTGCTTAATTTAAAAATGAAAATTAAGCCTTCCCCTCACCCCAAAATCTCCCTCTCCCTCTCAAACAGATCCTAAATTATTGTCGTATCATGTTTTTCCACACATTAAAAAAACAATAAATGAATGAACCAGCAACTACAGTCGTATGAAATTATCCTTATTAACCAATTGATTATTAATCATTTTCATAAGTATGTGATGCAGTCTAATGAGTTGAGAGTAGTGTACACAATATTACTTGGGAGTGATGCTGGAAAAAGAAAAATAATTGTCTTGAAAACAACTACAAAAAATGTTCTGAAACAACTTTCATTTAGAAACGGAGGATGTAAGATGTTTTTATATCCTCAAAATCATCTATGGCTTGGAGTGGAAACTTATACGGAAATAACATTAGAACATTCTCTTGTTTATGATTTAAATTTAAATACAAGACATGTTGGGACCTAACAATTTCTTTCAATTAACACAGACTATATCATGCAAGTGCCATAACCAAAAAAACCAACACACAATCACTTAAACAAAAATATGAAAAAGATATATCTTGTCTATGCAAAATGGATAATTTTATAACTAAAAAAGAGACCATATGAAAGAAATATACCCCAAAAAAAGTTCTCCTGAGGCGTGGACACATTTCACATAATCTGCGTTTAGCCAAAAACGACGCATTGCCGGAATGGACTTGTCTCTTAAAATATTGAAAAATTCTGTATTAACAATCGCAATTGCTCTTGTGGCAGCATAATAAGCCTTCCATCCATTTGTTGGTGTGACGCTATTTTGTTCCAATGTGAAGTCCTAAAAAAAACATCTTAAAAAGATTACAACAGAAAAATACACATGACAAAATGAGAATCACCAAAAATCATCTAAAAAATTCAGCCTAAATAATCACTGAAACTCGATTAGACGGGACAAATTAACATATATTTAGGTTCGTGCCAATTTACTATATGATTTCATCCTAGAACATAATGATCATTTCACCAAAGTAGTCATTCCGGGTTAACGACACGCAGCGGCCGACCCCAAAAGTGGGATGGCATATAGCGGGATGACCGCTCTATTTGATCTTTTCTTTTTCTTTTGTACAAATTACCTATAATAATTATAAATATATATTTAACGTAAAATTAAACAAATAACTCAACTCATAAATCAAAGCACACATGACTCTTGAAGTGAATAAATGACTATGAATGAAGGTTAAGATTGAGTCTCAACTAAAATTTGATTAAACCCCCCCCAAAATTAGTTTTAAAACATTGTAAATTTAAGGGGTACTTTCAGTTTTTTAGGGGGAAGCCGAGAACCGCTATGCTCCGCTATCCCGGTGCTTACCCTATAGTGGCCGCTATAGTGTTATGCACCACTAAGGCTCTTCCCATACCGGTGGGCCTCCACTCCACTATAGTGGGATAGCATCGCTATTGGCCACTATTGACTAGTCTGCATTTCTGCATTTCACCCGTACTAATTCAGTTTCAATGACTCTTTGGACTCATAAAAACTAGTAGTTCAAGCCAGAAAAGAAACATAACTGGCATGGACGTTTGAACTATTTACATTACTATCCACTAGTGAACAACCGGCAATGCCACACAAACCACTTTACTCTGCAACCTAAAAAACCCACATTTTAAGGGCAATAGCAATGTTATTGTTATTATTACAGTAAGCAAGTTGAAGCCCAAATGAGTCAAAATTATCCCTATTCACCCATCAAAAAGGTTTAACCATGCCCTAATTCTTCATATTTTCAAACAGCAAGTGTTCTATTGTTTTCTAAAGAGCGAAAAGATAATGTGAAAAGGAATGAATTTACCTTGTGATAGAGGGCTTTCCAGGCACTATCATCATTAGCAGCCTTCCGCATCAAAGAATTAGTCATGGAAAGCCGACACAAACTCGGATAATCCAAATAACTAAGCGCGTGAGTCGTAATCTCTGGAACAAGCTCCTCCATCATAGAAGAACCGGACCGACGATCAGCCAACACAACCGGCGCGGGAGAGGGGCTGATCTCCATCATTTCCGCAACACTCCCGTTCAAGTAAGGCACAGAATCTTCAGAATCGGAGGCGGCACAGTTGCAGTGGTTGAACGGCGGCGTGAATCTGGTGAGTGAAAATCGAAAGGAAAACGGTCGGAAGAGAGAGAAGAGCGCGACGAAGAAACAGAGGACGGTTAGTGAAACAGCGAGGAGGAAGGGTTCGTAGAAAAGAGAGAACATGTCGATTCAAAAGACATGAAAAATTGAGATTCGAAGAACATGAAAACCCTAAATTTGAATGAAGGGGGAAATGGAAAACAAAAGGTTATAACAGTAATAATAAGAAGGAAATGAGTTGAAATTGCAATTGGAGAGAGTGTATGCTACTCCTCGCTTGCTTTCTCAATCACTGATAGTCTCTCTCAACCCAACCGTTCACCACTGCTGCGTTCATACTGCCTTCTCCGTCAAATGTTACAAGTAACAACGTATTTTATTTTATTTATTGAAACTAATTATTATCGTAACTGTCAAAAACTTAATGGATAATTTTTGTATTCATTAAAAAACTTATTGAGTTTTGGATAATTCGTAAAAAAAAAAACTAAAAAAAAAAGTTTTGTTTAGATTGATTTTTTATACAGGTCGATTTTGATTGATTTTTTAATATTTAAGTTATAAATTATATTTTGTTATTAATATTATAAAAGAGTTAATAAATATTATATTTTATATAATATATAATATATATTGTAATAAAAGTTAATATTATAAAATAATAACAATCTCTTATGGTTGAAATAAATAAAATAATAAAAATAAATAGATTAAATCAAATTAATAAATAATATTTTAAAAAACAAATATTATTTAATAATAAATTAAAATAATATTTAATATTAATAAAAAATAAATAAGTGTAAATATATTCATGCAGTTCGATTCAGTTAATATCGATTTTAAAAAATATATCTAAAATTTGACCTGAATTGAACTATTTTTACTAAATAATATCTAAATACATTCAATAATTTTTTTTTTTTTACAGTTATCGATTTTTTAGATTGGATTGCAGTTTTTATTCAGATCGATTTGAATTTAGATAGCTTAATAAAGATATTCATGTGATGCAGGAATATATCTTAAATATAAATATTATTAATATAAAATTATAATTATAAAATTATTTTATTAATAAACTACTTGTAATTATTTTTAATTTTGATAACATTCATAGACAACATAAATATCATTAAAAAATAAATATTATAGGAACCCATAAAAAAATATAAAAATATAAAAAATATTAATAATAACTAATAATAAGTTTTTGCATAATTAATATAATTAGTGGAATAATATAAATATTATTATTGTTATTAAGAGAAATAAGTGGAGTATATTAATATGAATATTTTTAATATTGATTGTCTTGTAACTTAAAATATAAGATAATTATTTTGAAATTTAATAGTATTATATTATGATTTAAAATGAAATTACCAAAAATTATTAAATAAATTACATAAATCACTCATTGTATTATGTTTTACATTGAAAAATAATTGAAGTAAAGGAAAGGTAGAAATGTGAAATTAAAATGAATGATAAAATTTATATTATTATAATAATTTACAACCTAAAATAATC